TAACATTTTTTATGAGAATTTAATTTCAAGAAACATGAAATTAATAAATTATTTACTTTTGCATTTAAACAATTAAATTCTTGTAGAATTTTGTAATAAAAATTGATTTAAAAATTAATTTTAGTTAAAATTTTAGATTAAAATTAAATATTAAAAGCATTATAACGTGAATTATTAGAAATAATTAAATTTTGAAAAAGTTTCAAATTAAAATCACTAAAATTCTTAATTTTTCATATTTTTGACAAACAATAAAATCACTGAAATTCTTAATTTTTCATATTTTTGACAAACAATTCTGTAGAATTCATTTTTTTTAATAGGATTTATATTGAAATTATTTCAAGTTTTTATTTTTCAATATATATTTAATTGCAGAATTTCCGAATAATTGCAATTTTGTAAAATTTAAATGTAAACAAATGAATTTGAAAATTCGCAAAGAACGTTTTAAAAAATTATTGAAAATAATTGATTTATTGAAGAATTTTAGTTCAAAACACTATAGAAAAAAATTTAATTTTAGAGAAGTTAGAAATTATTGCAGAAATTTAATTATTTTCAAGAGTAATAAAATTCTTCTCAAGGAATCAATTATTTTTACTAATAATAAAACTCATCGCAGCGTTTTAATTATTTTTCATACACGGAGAAAATTTGTTCCTTATATTTTACCGAATTTTTCAATAAAGTTGGGATATAGTAGCATAATCGTAATTTTTAATAATTTTTATATTATTTTTTCGGTAACAATATTTAAAATCTAATGTGATATCTTTATTCCTTAAGAACTAGTACTGTAAAAGTTGAAAAAAAATTGAAACTGAACGTTTAATGTAAATTAAATAAATACCTCCTTGATGGGCACTAACGTTTCAGGAATAGTTCGGTAAAACTTTCTTGACTTGCCTAAAGTGTTAGTTTTCAGGAATAGTTCGGTAAAACTTCCTTGACTTGCCTAAAGTTTTAGTTTTCTGGATTGAAATACTTTATTTCAAGTGTCCCGCAGTCGAATGAAAGACTTTCACACTAATAGTTGATTTTTCCAACTTATTTAGACTTAATTAATAATCATTTTATTATTATTTAAATTAAAATTCAATTAATTAATTATTTTAAACACTAATTAATTGCCAAATATGTAATAAATGCTTTTAAATCAAGTAAAAAGAAAATATAAAATGGCAATAACATACTTATTTTTTTAACATATAATTTATTCATTTTAATTAAATATGAATAATAGTAAGTAAGTAAGCAAATAAACATAAGTAAGTAAGCAAAAAGGAAATAAATAAGTAAGCAATTAAACATATAAGTAAGTATGTAAGTAAGTAAATAAGTAGGTAAGCAAGTAAGCAAAAAGGAAATAACTTGCTTGCTTACTAGCTTACTTTCCTTCTTGCTTACTTTGCTTACTTGCTTATTTCTTTCTTGCTTACTTGCTTACCTACTTATTTGCTTACTTCCTAATTTCCTTCTTGCTAACTTGCTTGTTTTCTTTCTGCTTACTTACTTCCTTATATGCTTACTTGCTTACTTTCTTATTTCCTTCTTGCTTACTTTGCTTACTTGCTTACCTACTTATTTGCTTACTTCCTAATTTCCTTCTTGCTTACTTGCTTGTTTTCTTTCTGCTTACTTACTTCCTTATATGCTTACTTGCTTACTTTCTTATTTCCTTCTTGCTTACTTTGCTTACTTGCTTATTTCCTCCTTTCTTACCTTGCTTACTTGCTTATTTCCTTCTTGATTACTTACTTTCTTATTTGCTTACTTTCTTTTTCCTTCTTGCTTACTTTATTCCTTATTTGCTTACTTGCTTATTTCCTTTTCGCTTTTTAATACCTCACAATTATTATTTAATATTTCAGAAAGATTAATTTTCTATTAATTAATTTAATAATTTCCAACTTGCACTTTTAATATGTATATTTTTAATTTTAAACACAAAAATTTGAGAATAATAAGGATTTTCATAAATTATTGTTTTATTCCATTCAATACAAATTTAAACATTTTTCTTTATAATAATAAAAACATAATTTAAAAATATTTCATAAATTGACCTTGAATATAGTTAGAAATGATTCATTAATATAAATAATTTTTAATTTTGTACAACGATAGATTATTAATTTGAATCTTTCTCACAAGCGGTGAAATAAAATTGAGATTAATATATAAGGACAGTTGAAACTTTCTGAAGCATTAATGTAAAGCGTGCGATGTGTGTATTAGTGTATGCGTTTAGAATGTACTGTAGGCAGGTGTATCAATTAGTATTTGTTCGTAAACAATTGTAGGGGGTTTAGGTAGTGATTAAAGTTGGTAAATTGAGAGTTACGGCAGTATTAATATAGATCTACTGAAGTAACATTATTTTTTATTTTTGTTCTTCAAGTTTTACCGAACTTTCAGTAAATTGCAACTCGTCAGTTTTACCGAAGACTTTAACTTACGTTTTACCGAACTATTCAATAAATTGCAACTCGTCAGTTTTACCGAAGACTTTATCTTACGTTTTACCGAACTATTCAATAAATATGAATGTAGCGAGCACTTGGCTTACGTTTTACCGAACTGTAAGTGAAGCGCTAATACATGTATCGTGAACTTTATGATTTTTACATTATTTTTCAATGCAATTTCTTTTACAGTCTAGTTCTTGAAAAATTACTGTTTTGACACTTCATCCCAGTTTTACCGAACTAAATTCAGTAAAATTTCAGGAATAAATTTTCTCCGTGTACAATTATAATTAAATTCATTGAAAAAAGTAATTATGTTCATGCAAATTTTAATAAAATTCGACAAAAGAATTCAATTATTTAAAAGTTTGTTAATAAAATTCTTTATTAATTGAATTTTGAGAAACATTCAATTATTCAATAAATTATTTATTTTTGTATTTAAATAATTGAATTCTAATAGAGATTTCTAATAAGAATTAATTTAAAAATGAATTTCAGTTAAAATTTTAGATAATAATTGAATATTAAAAGCAATATAGCGTGAATTATTAGAAATAATTAAATTTTGAAAAAGTTTCAAATTAAAATCACTAAAATTCTTAATTTTTCATATTTTTGACAAACAATTCTGTAAAATTAATTCTTTTTAAAAGTTTAATACGATTTTTATTGAAATTATTATACATTTAATTGCAGAATTTACAAATAATTGAGATTTTGTAAAATTGAATTGTACACGAATAAATTTGAAAATTCTCAAAAAACTTTTTTAAAAATTATTAAAAATAATGGATTTATTGAAGAATTTTAGTTAAAAACACTAGAAATAAATTCAATTTTAGAGAGGGTTAGAAATTATTGCAGAAATTCAATTATTTTCAAGAGTAATAAAATTCTTTTTAAGGATTCAATTATTTTTACTAATAATAAAACTCATCGCAGCGTTTCAATTATTTTTTATACAATTATAATTGAACTTCTTGAAAAAAGTAATTATATTCATGCAAGTTTTAATAAAATTAGACAAAAGAATTCAATTATTTAAAAATTTGTTAATAAAATTCTTTATGAATTGAATTTTGAGAAACATTTAATTATTCAATAAATTATATACTTTTGCATTTAAATAATTAAATTCTTGTAGAATTTTCTAATAAAATTGATTTTCATTTCATAAAAATGAATTTCAGTTAAAATTTTAGATTATAATTGAATATTAAATGCCATAAAGCGTGAATTTTTAGAAATAATTGAATTTTGAAATTAATTTTTTTGAAAAAGTTTAATTGAATTTTCTTTTATATTATTTGAAGTTTTTATTTTCTAATATGCATTTAATTAAAGAATTTAAGAATAATTGAAATTTCGTTAAATTGAATATTGTAAACAAATGGATTTGAAAAATTACCAAAGAACTTTTTCGAAAATTATTAAAAATAATTGATATAAAGTAAAATTACACTTAAAAATTTTTGAAAATAATAAATGAATTGAAATAATGAAAATAATTTTGAAGAAAATAATATTCTTATAATACAAAATGATGATTTTATTACTTGGTCATCTTTAATTATTATAAAACATGAAGAAATCGTATACTCCGAGTCGAAGACTCGGAGTTATCGATATCTTCATGTTTTATAGTTATAAAGAAATTTAATGAACTAAAATTTCATTACTTATAAAAAATAACACCAAAATTATTTATTTAAATCTTTTTTGGTGTTAATTAATCTGCAACACTTTTTAATACCTCACGATTGACTGTGAATAATATAATAAAAGATTTATTTACATCTATAGTGCGATAATCAATAGCAAATTGCGACAAACAAATGTATCATTGATTTGATAGCATTTTTTTCTCAGTGTTGATATTTGTGGTGATTTGCTTGGAGAGTATAAGGAGACATTTTTGAATAGGTACAAAAAATTTATATTCCTATATGCGGTATTTTTGTTTAAGTTTGATAGAACTAACGGTATAATTATTGCTCGCGATGCGTATTGGAGTATGTGTTTGAGGGTCTCTTCGATAAAGAGGAAACGAGTTGACTGAGCCTGCACGCGAACGATAAAGCCGTTAACGATAACGAACTTGAAATGGGCGCTTCGAGGTAAAGAATACAAGAGCGGATATATCGATGTCTCTCTTACGCATTATATTATACGATGAGTGTGCTGCCGTTCTCCTCGCTTCGATTTACGTACACCTACGAGAGAGAGAAAAAAAGAGAGAGAGAGAGAGAGAATATCTCCACTGGACCACCTTAATTAAGCGTTTAAGCGATGAAACTGGTTCTGATCTTTGCTCCACTTCTGGTTGTTCTTCCCCTTATACACCTTCCTTGAGAATCGTTAAAGACGACGAACTGCGAGCCACTACAGGCAGTTTTCGTGTTTGGCGAGAAAGAGAGAGAAGAGATAAACTTTTTATTAATCTCACAATCGAATTTTTTTTAAATCAAGATATCCGGATTCTAAAGATGAAATAGTTTTGTTTCACGAAGTGAATAAATTTAACAATATTGTTTAAAATTCAGCATTTATTGAAATACAAACAACAGTTGAAACGTTCCAAAAAGACCAACACCATTTAAAAATAAAATTTCTTAAAATTTAACCCAACTTTTTTCACTTATACATTAATGGAAAAAATTATTTTATTTCATATATTTAGCTATTAGAAGCATAATATTGGGCTTCAATCATAAAATCAATGACAAGTTATCTCATCTTCTACAAATCTATGCCTATATCGTCGGCAAAATTTTTCTCATCCTCATTGAATTCGGATAAACCTGAAATAACAGAATATCAACTTACGCTCTTCTTAGAAAATATTGCAAGATTTAAATTTCAATACTAGCCTTCATCAACATCCTGTTCTTCATCATATGCAACAAATATATTATCTGCATTCTGTTCATTATCTTCATTTAATCCCGAATAGGAATTATCTTTGTGAATTACTCTCGCTTTATTTTTTACAACTGTAAATATATTTGTAAATTATAAAAGTATATCCTATGTGAAAAAAACTAGCGGTAATACTTTTGTCGGATCACTAGGCGAATTTTTTGATGCCAGGATTTCGACAAATATTACCGAAAATTTTTCCACTTGAAACATATGTATATATATAGATGATGATAAAAATAAATATTTGAATACTTTCCTCTTAGCGCATCCGTATCCCAATTAGTGGATGGTGTAACACATTTCCCATCTAAACAATACTGAAACATTCCCGAAAAAAATATTAAAATTGAAATATAGGCAGATTATGATTTTTTTGCTTTTAAGCTTATTCGTATAAGAAAAAACAATTATAACAAAATCAGACTTCGCACTCGATAATTAATTTTAAAAAAGTAGCAAAAAGTAGTTTTCAAACTAATAAAAGTATAGTAAAAAAAGTAGCTATCGAAAAATTAAACTTGACGACCAAAAAAACTCGTTTTAGACACTTTACAAAACTGACAAAAATTCCATTTTATGTTTTTTATTTTCCTGTCTGACTTATTCCTAATTTTCATCAAAAATATCTCTTTCTTTCTTTCTTATCCTGCTAATAAATTGAATTCCTGCAACGAATTTTATTATTCACGAAAGAATTCAAATATTTATAAACAAAATTTAATTCTTGCGAAGAATTTTATAAAAAATTTTAAACAATTGATTTCTTTCGACTAATTTTAAGCAAATTCTAATTTAAATAATTGAATTCCTGAGAAATTTTTATTATTCAAGAAAAGAATTGAATTCTTACGAAGATTTTTACCAAAAATTTATTAAATAATTGAACTCTGTTTGGAAATTTTATGAAAATAATAGATATTGAAAATCATTGAATTGCGAAAAGTTTTTAAAAATAATTCAATTTTACAAAGAATTCTATTCAAATTTTTGACAATAATTGAATGTCTGTGTGGTATTTTATTAAATTTTTTTGAAAATAATTGAATTCCTAAAAATCGTTTTATTATTTATGAAAATAATTGAATTCTTGCAAATGATTTTATTGAAATTTTTTTTAAATAATTGAATTCCCAAAAAGAAATTTGTTACTTTAAAAAATAATAATTGAATTCTTATTATGAATATTGTTATTTATGAAAATAATTGAATTTTGCAAAGTATTTTATTAAAATGTCTCAAAATAATTGAATTTTCGAGAATAATTTTGTTATCTATCGACATAATTACATTCTTTCGAAGAATTATTTATGTAAATAATTGAATTTTTGTGAAGAATTTTATTAAAATATTTGAAAATAATTGAATTCCTGGGAAAAATTCTAATATTTTTGTAAATCATTGAATTATTCCAAAGAATTTGAAAAGAAAATTTTTTTTAAAAATAGGTAAATTTTTTCGAGGAATTTAAATTCAATTTTTAAGAATAATTACATTTTTTGAGCAATTCCTGTAAAATTGTTAAAAATAATTGAAATCCTTCAATGAATTTTATTATCTATGAAAATAATTGAATAGTAGTTGCCAAGAATTTTACTTAAATTTTCAAAAATAGTTGAATTCCTGAGAAGAATTTTATTATTTATGAAAATAATTGAATTTCTGTGAAAAATTTAGTTACTTTTGAAAATAATTATTGAATTCTTTATGAGAATTTTGTAAACAATGTTTTTAATAATTAATTTTTTCGAAATGTAAAAAATATTATGAAAATTTTATTGTAAATATTTTAATTCTTGTGGAAAACTTTATTTTCGAAAATAATTGAATTTGTCGATTAATTATTTAAAAATATTATTAAAAATAATTAAAATTCTTCGTTGAGTTTTATTATTTATGAAAATAATTGAATTCTTGCTTAGATTTTTATCAAAAAATTTTTTTTTTAAATTGTATTTCCATGAAAAATATTATTATTAGTGAAAGTAATTGAATTATTGTGAAGAATTGTATGAAAATTTTGTTAAATAATTGATTTTTTCGAATTTTTTTTGAAAATGCTATTTTAAATTAATTGAATTCTTGTAGAAATTTTATTATTTATGAAAATAATTGAATTTAGGATGAATTTTATATATATTTTTTTTAAATAATTTGAATTGTTTTGCGAAATTTCGTAAAAATACTAGATATTGAAAATAATTGAATTTTAAATAATTGAATCGTTTTAAAGAATTTGATATAATTTTTGAGAATAGTTTTTTTATTTCTAGGATTAGCGAATTTAAATAGTGGAAATTAAAAATTAACAGAAATAGCAGCTATTAGTGGCTGAAATCTAAAAAAAGTACCCAATTAGTAGCATATAACGTAAAAAAGTAGTAAATAGTAGGTTTTAGTAGATGAGTGCAAAGCTTGTAAAATTGTTAAAGTGTTGAAAGTATTAAATTTTGCATTACTTTGTTAGTTTCGCAAGGATATCCATTTTCTGCAGTTAACAATTCAGTGACAATATTTTTCTCATCTTTAACAGGGTTAAAGACAGAAGACAAATCCAGTTCATTTTTACTAGTGCACATAATTGTACATTCCTCTTTATGCTAAAAGAATTGAAAAAACATTAATAGATGCAAGTTAATGTTAAAATTAAACATAATATAGTTACTATTACTAACATTATGGGACAGAAACATTTGAATCTTTTTACATCGTTTCCTGGGAGAGTCAAATTCATCAATTGATCTAATTAAGGGAGTAGTTGTACCAATAGTTCTGGGAGTAATTGAAGTAACTTTATATTCAAAACACATGCCCTCACTGCAAACCTAAGGAAAAGAAAACATTTATTTTCACTACTTTGAATTTTTTAATCTATTACTCCGTTATCACCCTTACTCCGTTATCAAGGCAAGGATATCCATCTTCAGCAACTATACGTTCATCGTAATTGTTTGTTGTATTTTTGCAATAAACACTGCAACCATCGTTGTACTAAAAAAGAGATAAAAGAAAAATAATCACTTAAAAGAATTGAAGTAGAAATTAAAATTTCCAAGTTCCAATGTACTAACGACGTGTGACCAATCCATTCCAAAATCTTTGCATCGTTCACTGAGATTTTTAAATGCAACTGGTGATTTATCCGTAACAGCAGTCATATTAGCACACTCTCCATTTTCACAGTACTGAAAAAGAAGAAAAGCAAGTAAAACTTAAGGCTACTATATGTACATTAAGAAAATATTTCTTACTCCAAAATTATTGCAAGGAAATCCATAATCATCGTCGAAATATTTGTAATCATTATTGTCCTCGCTATTTTCTGAATTGTCATTTTCTTTCACGCAGAGAAATTGGCACTCCATCTCGATCTAAAAAGGAAGAAAAATATTTTTAATGAGAACTTGAAAATAGCAACACGACATGGAAAATTAAACGTATTTTGTGCAATACAAACATCTGATAAAGACATTCCAATTTCTGTACATCTTTCAATGCGTGGTCTGAATGTAACTGGTATATTCGAAGGAGTAGATGAACCAGTAATGCTGACAGTATTTGTAGTTGAATCAGTAATGTTGACAGTATTTGTAGTTGAGTCAGTAATTCTGTGAGTTCTTGTGGTTGAATCAGTAATGCTGAGAGTACTTGTAGTTGTATCAATAATGTTGTCAGTATTTTTAATTGATTCAGTAATGCTGGGAGTACTTTTAGTTGAATCAGTAATGTTGACAGTATTTGTAGTTGAGTCAGTAATTCTGTGAGTTCTTGTAGTTGAATCAGTAATGCTGAGAGTACTTGTAGTTGTATCAATAATGTTGTCAGTATTTTTGGTTGATTCAGTAATGCTGGGAGTACTTTTAGTTGTATCAATAATGTTGTCAGTATTTTTGGTTGATTCAGTAATGCTGGGAGTACTTTTAGTTGTATCAATAATGTTGTCAGTAGTTTTAGTCGATTCAGTAATTCTGTGAGTACTTGTAGTTGAATCAGTAATGTTGACAGTATTTGTAGTTGAGTCAGTAATTCTGTGAGTTCTTGTAGTTGAATCAGTAATGCTGAGAGTACTTGTAGTTGTATCAATAATGTTGTCAGTATTTTTGGTTGATTCAGTAATGCTGAGAGTACTTGTAGTTGTATCAATAATGTTGTCAGTATTTTTGGTTGATTCAGTAATGCTGGGAGTACTTTTAGTTGTATCAATAATGTTGTCAGTAGTTTTAGTCGATTCAGTAATTCTGTGAGTACTTGTAGTTGAATCAGTAATGTTGACAGTATTTGTAGTTGAGTCAGTAATTCTGTGAGTTCTTGTAGTTGAATCAGTAATGCTGAGAGTACTTGTAGTTGTATCAATAATGTTGTCAGTATTTTTGGTTGATTCAGTAATGCTGGGAGTACTTTTAGTTGTATCAATAATGTTGTCAGTAGTTTTAGTCGATTCAGTAATTCTGTGAGTACTTGTAGTTGAATCAGTAATGCTGAAAGTACTTGTAGTTGTATCAATAATTTTGTCAGTACTTTTAGTTGAATCAACAATTTTAAGGGTAGTTGTAGGCAATGTCAATGTAGTACATGTTCCTTCCAGACAAGTCTGAAAAAAATTTCAACTAAAACTTATGCTAACAAGTATTACATGATGTAAAAATGATTCTTACTCCACTGTTATTGCAAGGCATGCCAATTTCAGCATTCAAGTATATCACGTATTGATCAAAGTCAAAGTCTTCTTTGTTATTAATAGCACTTTGGTTTTGGCAAATAATAACACATCCGTCATTATACTTAAAAAATGAGAAAATAAAAATTAATTAATGAAGAATATGAAATTCAATTTGGTAAATCAAATTTCGGAGTGAATTTATTATCAATCTGATACTAACAGCAGAGGAAAATGACATTTCAACCTCATCACATAGTTCTGTGGCAGATTTAAATTTAACAGGTTTATCAATTGCAGTAGTCGAATCAATAGTGTGAACGGTACTTGTAGTTGAATCTATAGTGCGAATGGTACTTGTAGTAGATGTCATATTAATACATTTTCCTTCTTGACAATACTAAAAAAAAAACATTTTTTTTTAACTGAAACTTGTGGTAACAAATTTTACATTCTGCAAAATTGATTCTTACTCCACTATTATTGCAAGGCAAACCATAATCAGCCTCCAAATATTTCGTACGTGATCGTTTGTCATTATTTTCAAATTTGTTGGAATTGTAATCTTTTATGTAGCAGATAATAACGCATCCGTTGTCGTACTAAATGAGTCAAAAAAACAAAATATAAATAAGCAAACAAAGCAAAAGATAAATTAAATATGTTAAGAGCTTAGATTAGGCTTACAAAATTAGTGATTAATTAATTATTTATTAATTATTTTTTAAATTCATACATCACGTGACCAAGACATTCCAATTTCTTCACATCGCTTAGGGGAAGATTTAAAAACAGGCAATTTATTCAAAGTTGTAACAGCAGTAGCAGTAGTGGCAGAAGTAGTAGTATGAGTAGTGGTAGGAATAGTAGTAGTGGTGGCAGTAGTTGTAATAGTATACGTTCCGTCAACACATTTTCCATCCATACAGTTCTATAGAAAATAAGTCAGTTGAATTAATAACTTATAGTAATTTATAGTTCAAAATTTTTTCATATTTTAAAAATAATTTTTACTCTATTCTTAGAACATGGAAATCCATTTGGAGCTGCTATATTCTCCCATATAATTTGACTTTCATGAAAAGTGTTTTTAAAATCATCTGGAATGTTGTAAATCTCTTTTTCGCAGATAAAGGTGCATTCTTCACTTATCTGAAATATTAAAGTAACTTTGAGTTTTATTTGAGTTTTATTAAGTAACTTTGATATTAAAGTCACTTTGACTTTCAAAGTCAATGTCAGAGTGAAAATGAATGTCAAAAATCAAAGTCGAATTCCATAATTTTAATGTCAAAATCAAATACAAAGTCATTATTCAACATAAAGAAAAAAGTGTTTATTATTAATTGTAGAATACTGACTTTCTTAAGACCTTTTTTTCCAGCTTTAATACAGTACTCATTTGCTGATTGGAAATTAATATCAATACATTGTCCGTCTCGACAGAACTGTAAAATTGAAAGTAGTTTATTTTTATTATTTATTAATTAAACAGATTTTTTATAATATTAGTCAATATTAATAACCTTAACATAAAATTCAAATATATCTTACTCCGATATCATTGCATGAAGTTCCATCCTGTGCATATATAAATGTCTTTATCTGCTTTCCAAAACTATTGGTATCAATACAGTCGAGTTCACAAGCATTTAAAATGGTCTAGTTAAAAAATTTGAAAACAAGTTTTATTAATATTTATTTATTTTTAATATTATAATTTTAATATGGTTAATATTGTAAATATTCTAGATATCGTACATACCCGCAGCTGAAAAAGTTCTACAGAATTTCACTATAGAATCATTCTATATGAATTCTATTGAATATTCTACAGAATTTCACTAGACTGATTCTATAGAATTTCTACATGAATTCTACTAAATTTTAATGATTTTTAATTAGAAAGAATTATTGTGTGATTTAATTTTACATTTGTCTATGACAAATTTTAGACAAAAATTGTTTATATCATTTAAATATATATGTTACGGTCAATGTCCGGAATCGGGCAATGTCGACAATGCCCAGGCATTGTCGACATTGCCCAAAATCACTGGGCATTGTCGACAATGCCCATACATTTTCAATAATATTCAGCAAAGTGTGTTAATGCCCGGGCAATGACGACAGTGCCCGGGCATTGTTGACATTGCCCATTCATTTTTGGGCAATGTTGTTTACATTAAGGATTAAATTAATTATACTATTAAAATCAGACTTTTAAAGTATTAAATCATTGGTAAAAATGGCCAGTGACAACGTGAGTGATATTTTTTTGTTAATAGAGCATTAATATTGGGGTTATTTATTAGTTCTAAGTTTTATAATTTATTTAAAAAAATTCAAAACATTACATTTTATAACCATATAGTTAATAATTTAACGATTTAAAATTTATAACATTAAATTATTGGAATAAATTAATAAATTGACTGAAATATTTGAAACTGCAATAATTGGTACATGTCTTTTCACAAAATGGGACAATTAGAGTAAGCGTTTACAAATTGGTACTCTAACATTTTTCCATAAAAACACAATATTTTACTATATTTTGACAATAAAACTTCATTTAAAGTTATATTTGCTTTAAAAATTAATAATGGTAATTATAAACAAATTATTGTAAACAAATAAAAACTATTCTCTATATTTATATTATTATTCGTGAGAGCAATTATTACAAAATGTGAGACTCAATCTATTGTAAACGAAATAATATTACAATTTACGAGACATTTTATTTATAACTAGTCGGTACATTTCGATTAAAATGAATTTAAATTAAATTAAAAAATTAATTATTGACATTGCCCAAACTGGACCGGGCATTGTCGACATTGCCCGAAAAAACTTCATAATATAAATTATTTCGGACATTGACCGAAATTGATGGTCATTGTCGACAATGCCCAGTGGTTGTGGGCAATGTCGATAATGCCCGGGCATTGTCAGACATTGCCCGATTCCGGACATTGACCGTAACATATATAATTCATTTAACTTAGTGACAGGGCTTGAACCAGTAAAAATATTTAAAAATACGAGCTTTACGGACCAAAGATTAAAAATTACGGACCAATTATTACTGACAAAAATATAACCAATGCGAGTCAAATAAGTGAACATTTTACTTAAAAGTATAAATTAAATTTTTTCATAACTGTAATGTATATTATAACAACTAAAGATGATAAATTGATAAAATAATTATTTTATATCATAAGAATATTGTACTTTTTCAAAATTCAATTATTTCTACAAATTCACGCTATATTGCTTTTAATATTCAATTATTATCTAAAATTTTAACTGAAATTTATTTTTAAATTAATTCTTATTAGAAATCTCTATTAGAATTCAATTATTTAAATACAAAAATAAATAATTTATTGAATATTTGAATGTTTCTTAAAATTGAATTCTCATAAAGAATTTTATCAACATATTTTTAAATAATTGAATTCCTGAGAAGAATTTTACTATTTTTGAACAAAAATTAAATTTCTGCGAAGTATTTTATTACTCTTGAAAACAATTGAATTTCTGCAATAATTTGTAACTTCTCCAAAATTAAATTTTTTTAGTGTTAACTAAAATTTTTTCTATAAAATAAATCCATTAATTTTAATAATTTTTAAAATAGTTTTTTGAGAATTTTCAAATTCATTTGTTTTTAACTAAAATTCATTTTTTAATCAATTTTTATTAGAAAATTCTACTAGAATTTAATTATTTAAATACAAAAAAATAATTTATTGAATATTTGAATGTTTCTTAAAATTGAATTGTCATAAAGAATTTTGTCAACAAATTTTTAAATAAATGAATTCGTTTGACGAATTTAAATGAAATTTTTGATAATAATTGCATTTATCGAGGAATTCGATTAAAATTTTATTAAAAATAATTGAAATTCTGCGATGAGTTTGACATATTTATGAAAATAATTAAATTCCCAAAAAGAATTTTATTATTTAGGAAAATAATTGAATCCCTGTAAAAATGTTTTTATTTATAAAAATAATTGAATTATATTGCGAAGAAATTTATAAAAAATTTATAAATAATTGAATTTTTGTGAAATTTTTATTATTTTATGAAAATAATTAAATATTTGGGTAGAATTTTATTAAAAAAATTTCTAGTGAAATTCTATAGAATATTCACTAGAATTCTTATAGAATGATTCTAGTGAAATTCTATAGAACTTTTTCAGATAGATATTTTAATAGATTTCAACTAACTTTGATAACGTTTTTGACTCCTTTTTCTTTGCATTGTTCTTCCAGAGATTTATTATTCTGTGGTGGTAAATATTGTATTGGGAATAACTGATTTAGATTTAAATCCGTGTTATATGGTATTTTTACACACTCTCCCCTTAGGCAGACCTATAATTTAAAAAATATATATTTTATTACTTAATATTAAATGAGATACTAAAATTGATTGATATTTAAAAATTTCTCACCTTTCCCAAGTCACAAGGAGTTCCTTCAAGTGCTCCTACCTTTATAACATATTTCTTACCATCAGAGATGCAATCTAATTTTAAGCAAATACTTGGTGATACCTGAAATATTAAAAAACAAAAAAATATTGAACTATCTTTATTTCATTTATAGAAAAAGACAAACAAAAGTTGATTTAACAAGAACATAATTAAACAACTTACTATCGCAGATGCATTTCCACGGCCTTTGGTTCGGCATTGTTTATCTGCTGACAAGTATTGTCCAGGAAAAATTCTTAATATTTGATCATCATTTCTATTATCAGCCGGATTATTTTGAATGCACTGAGCTCCCTTTAAACTATTGTACAATTTTTTATTGATTTTTCGAAAATTTTATCACTGACATTTTCTACTTGAAGAGGTATAGATAAATAAAAATAATATAAACCTTAAAGTCAATTTTAATTGTTCCTTGGAACATGGGGAAAAGTAAAATTGATTTTGGTCGAATCGTTGATAGCTCATAATAAAACCCTTCTTGAATGTACATTTTTGTTTATCTTCTTCAGGTAAATACTTGAGTTCATCATGAAATGATCCAAGTCTAATGACATCAATTTAAAAGGTTTATTTTTAATATAATTCTGTTTAAAAGTCAACCGTAATTTTTAGTTAATATTAATATAATTATTAATTTTTGACCCACTTACACATGACCTAATTCATGTGCACCAGTTTGAATTCCTTCCAATCTTCCATTATCACTGATAATTGCTACTGACTTTATAAAATCTTTTCTTTGTTGACAAACACTTCCAGTATATGCTAAACCTTAAAAGTATTTTAAATATTTGTTTTACATTATATTAAATAATTAGAGCAATTGATATTTGATTTTAAAAAATTTTACCTTTAAAAGGCTGAACAGTAAATGATTTTACTAATACAACAGCAATATCATAATGTTCTTTAAATTTGAATTTTGTTTCTTCATACATAAATTTTGAAAACCTATCCAAACTATCGCCATTGATAATGAATCTTTTTGATGGTTCTATTGATTCCTTTGGTTGTAAAAGAATTTATTGAAAAATAGGTTAATTTTCTCATTAATTAATTATTTTCAATTAGTCAAATGCATACTGCAATGTTAAGGTGACCGTTGCATCGGGAAAATTGGGAAATGACAGGAAAGTTTTTCCTTGACCGGGAATTTGGAATTTTTGTATAAAAAATGTTTTTTTAATATATATATATATAATATAATATTCTATTTTTAAAAATCATCTTCAATTTTTGAATAATTTCATATACAGAATTTAAAAAAATTCAACTTTAATAAAATTGTGTAAAACAATTCAATTATTTGCAAAATATTTAGTAGAATTTTTCGCATGAAATTAAATTACTTTTTATTTTTTTATTTTTTATTTACAAGTAATGTAACAATAGGCCTGTAGCCTATGAAATTAAATTATTTTCATACTTATATAATAAAGTTTTTTATATGAATTCAATTATTTTTCAATATGATTTTAATAAAATATCTCGAAAGAATTTAATTATAAAAATGTAGTTATTTTCAATACAATTTTAATTGAATTACTCAAAAGAATTTAAAATAATCATTGGAAATAATTATTTTCACAAAATTTCCGTAAAAATCTTCAAAACTATTAAATTATTTTCAAAAATTTTAATAAAAGTCTAAGCAAAAATTAAATTATTTCAGATTCAAAATTATAAAAAGTTACAAAAATTACAAAAAGTAGTTTAAAAAATAACAAAAAAATGTTATTAAAAATGATGTATTTTAAAATAAAAAAAATGTATAAAATATAAAAAAAATTTTAAAAGAATTCAACTTTAATAAAATTTTTTTCAAACAATTCAATTATTTTCAGAAAATGTAATAAAATTCTTCACACGAGATTCAATTATTTTCAATGCAATTTTAATGAAATTATGTTGAAAAAATTTGAAAAAATTTAATTGTTTTCATACATTTAATAAAATTGTTCACAGGAATTCAATTATTTTTAACATAATTTTTAAAAAAATTTCCCAAAAGAATTCACTTAAGAGAATTTAGTTATTTTTAATACAATTTTAATTGAATTCCTGAAGAAGAATTTAATTATATTTTCACAGAATTTCCATAAAATTCTTCAAAACAATTAAATTATTATCAAAAAGTTTAATAAAATTCTGAGGAAATATTAAATTATTTCAGATTTAAAATTATAAAAAGTTACAAAAATTAAAAAAAGTAATATAAACATTTATATAAAGTGTTATTCAAAATGTTATGTTTTGAAATAGAAAAAATTTCTAATATAAAATAGTAAAAAGTAAATTAATTTATAAATTTTTTTTTTCAATAAAGTTATCACAAAACTTATTCTCTGAATTTGAATTAGTAAATATTTGAATTCAAACTTAAGTTTGAACTAATTAAAACTAAAGTGATACAAAATTTCTAAAAATTAATTTTTTAATTCTATATAGAACAACATTTTAAAAAAATACAATTCTGTTTTCCTCAGAAAATAAATTTTTAAAAAACAATATTTTGCATTATTAATAATGATCAATTCGTTTTTCTACAATAATTTATAATTAACTATTTTTATATTCTAGAATGTTACATTAATATTATTAATATTATTAATATAAGATTGAATTTCGATAAGTTTCATGTTAAAGTTTTAGAAAAGTTGAATTTAAAAAAATTTTAATTAAAAATTCTGAAAAAGTTAGTGGTTTGAATCATTTTTTTTTTACTTTTTTAAAAATTAGTTCGGTATATTTTTATATACATAATTTAAGTGAAAAATTTTCAAATTATTTCAAATTTCATGATATTGTCTTGTAAATAAGTGGATTTTAGAAAAATTTTACTTTTATAGGTGGAATTGTTTTAAACTAATTAAATTTTTAAGGAAATTTTTTCTAAAAAAATATTAAATATATAATTGAATTAGAGAAGAATTTAAGTTAAAATTTCTATAAAATAATTTAATTTAAATCTTAAAAATAATTATTTCTGTTATAGAAATAAAATACCTCGCATAAAACAATTCCAGCAATGTTTAGACGAATAAAGGGTTTCTCTATTTCTCTAAAATAGAGATCCACACCATTCATAAGGGTTAAAACATAAGAGACAGTCTTTTTAACACTACCTTTAAAATATCTGGAAAAAGAAACGTTTTACTATAATTTATATTTATTTCCATTTCATGTCATTTACACTGAAGAAAAAATTTATTTGATTCAAATAACCGATTAATTGACAGTTATCAATTAAATAATTATTAATTGAATCAAATAATATTTATTGGAGTCAATTAAATGGTATTTGCTTTAAATACTGAAATTATTGGTTCAAATACCATTTAATTGACCTCCTATAAATATTATTTGATACAAGTAAATATTTAATTGATAATAGTCAATTAATCGGTTATTTGAATCAAATAATTTTTTTTTTTGCAACACTAACCTCTAAAGTTGAATTTTACACACGGAAAACTGTGTGTAAAGTATCACTTTTCTGAACAGTGCGTAAAAGTTACTTTTACGCACTGAAATTACTTTTACGCACTGTTGGGTCTTTTTAATGATTATGTACCTATGTATACATTTGTATATTGTATAAGAAGTGGTGAACGAGAGTGATTTAAACTCTACTATACTGTAGCTTACTATACTATTCTGTAAAGTACTATACTAACTATTGTAGTTAGTATAGTACTACTATAGCTAGTATAGTACTATTATAGAACTATTATAGTTAGTATAGTATTACTATAGTACTATTATAGTTAGTATAGTACTACTATAGTACTATTATAGTTAGTATAGTACTACTATAGAACTATTATAGTTAGTATAGTACTACTATAGAACTATTATAGTTAGTATAGTACTACTATAGTGCTATTATAGTTAGTATAGTACTACTATAGAACTATTATAGTTAGTATAGTACTACTATAGTACTATAGTTAGTATAGAACTACTATAGTAGTACTGTAGTTAGTATAGTACTACTATAGTAGTACTATAGCTAGTATAGTACTACTATATTAGTACTATAGTTAGTATAGTACTACTATAGTAGTACTTTAGCTAGTATAGTACTACTATATTAGTACTATAGTTAGTATAGTACTACTATAGTAGTACTTTAGCTAGTATAGTACTACTATAGTATTACTATAGTTTGTGTAATACTACTATAGTTAGTATAGTATAGTATAGTATAGTATAGTATAGTATAGTATAGTATAGTATAGTATAGTATAGTATAGTATAGTATAGTATAGTATAGTATAGTATAGTATAGTATAGTATAGTATAGTATAGTATAGTATAGTATAGTATAGTATAGTATAGTATAGTATAGTATAGTATAGTATAGTATAGTATAGTATAGTATAGTATAGTATAGTATAGTATAGTATAGTATAGTATAGTATAGTATAGTATAGTATAGTATAGTATAGTATAGTATAGTATAGTATAGTATAGTCTAGTACTAGTATAGATTATAGTATAGTTATGTAATAGTAGTCTAGTATAGTATAGTATAGTATAGTATCGTACTATGAGTATTACTATAGTTTGTAATACTACTATAGTTAGTATAGTATAGTATCGTATAGTACTAGTATAGTATAGTATAGTATAGTATAGTATAGTATAGTATAGTATGTATAGTATAGTATAGTATAGTATAGTCTAGTATAGTATAGTCTATAGTATAGTATAGTATAGTATAGTATAGTATAGTATAGTATAGTATAGTATAGTATAGTATAGTATAGTATAGTCTAGTATAGTATAGTATATTATAGTATAGTCTAGTATAGTATAGTATAGTATAGTATAGTATAGTATAGTATAGTATAGTATAGTATAGTATAGTATAGTATAGTTAGTATAGTATCGTATAGTATAGTATGTATAGTATAGTATAGTATAGTATAGTATAGTATAGTATAGTATAGTATAGTATAGTATAGTATAGTATAGTATAGTATAGTATAGTATAGTATAGTATAGTATAGTATAGTATAGTATAGTATAGTATAGTATAGTATAGTATAGTATAGTATAGTATAGTATAGTATAGTATAGTATAGTATAGTATAGTATAGTATAGTATAGTATAGTATAGTATAGTATAGTATAGTATAGTATAGTATAGTATAGTATAGTATAGTATAGTATAGTATAGTATAGTATAGTATAGTATAGTATAGTATAGTATAGTATAGTATAGTATAGTATAGTATAGTATAGTATAGTATAGTATAGTATAGTATAGTATAGTATAGTATAGTATAGTATAGTATAGTATAGTATAGTATAGTATAGTATAGTATAGTATAGTATAGTATAGTATAGTATAGTATAGTATAGTATAGTATAGTATAGTATAGTATAGTATAGTATAGTATAGTATAGTATAGTATAGTATAGTATAGTATAGTATAGTATAGTATAGTATAGTATAGTATAGTATAGTATAGTATAGTATAGTATAGTATAGTATAGTATAGTATAGTATAGGATAGTATAGTATAGTATAGTATAGTATAGATAGTATAGTATAGTATAGTATAGTATAGTATAGTATAGTATAGTATAGTATAGTATAGTATAGTATAGTATAGTATAGTATACTCGTGTGATTTGCATCACTCGCCTTCGGCTCGTGCTGCAAATGTCACACTCGTATAATCACTCACTTTACGCACTTGTATCATAAATAACTATTTTCAGTGTAATTAATTAATTTCTAACTCTTATGTAACCTTATCTAACCTTATGTAATTTAAAATACATATTATATATATAAGCTGAACAAAATTAAGTTAAAACTTACAGAAAAAGAGTTGTATCTACGTAAACTAAAATTTGTGGATACACTGTATGGGGAGAGACGATAGGCCTTCTCATTGCTTGCTTGTCGAGATTATATGCCTCATGTTCATATAAATTAGTATTCTCGCTATTTGATTGAGATATGTCTCGTTTATAGAGTACGTGATGATTTTTCAAACTATTATTTACTGATTCGTGCATAAATTTTGATGAAACATCACGACGTAAGCGATTTTCGTTATTTAACGGACGTATTACTTTGTTTGTGCCAATAATACCATTCTAGAAGTATAAATTTTTATGTCATAAAAAAGCTTCCAGATTAGCTGATAAAAAAACTAATTTTACAAATAATACTTACAAATTCTGAAACACCTCTTTTATTTAGTGTGTGGGCTATTGCAGACCCTGTTTCTTGGTCGCGATAAAGTGTAATGTTCATGTTCTTCATAATCTACATGCAGTATTAATTTTAAAAAACATGAATTGAAATGAAACATTGACTTATTCATTATTATTATCACTATTACTATATATTAATTTTAACTTAGTTAATGACAAAATATTTATTTAAAAAATTTACTAAATGCAGAAATAAATAGATGGTCAATTCAAATATTTTAAAGAATTTGTAAAAAAATATTTATTATGAATTATTTTTCGACCTTTTGTGACCAAAAATAAATATAGACAATAAATTGTTGACCCTATTTGCAAGGATCTAAAATAAATTTAAGAAATTCAGATTTTTTATTGTTAATTTTTAAGATAATTTTCAATTTCATGTTTTATTGAGTATAGTACATAACCCACGCTTCGATAGGAACCAAAAAATTAAAAGAAAAATTATTTTATTTAATATTTTGATGTTTAATTTTTTCATATATTGTTGGGTGAGATGGCCATTCATCGACATTATAAATAACAACTTTCAAATAAGATGCGGCTTTACTTACATTTCTTTTTAGAAAATAGTTGAATTTGTTTCCAATTTTTTTAGCTATCCAGATTCTCGTTCTTTTACCAGCAAAAAATCCTTTCGATGACTGCAGAATATATTTTTTATCAACCCCACGACTGTTTATATTTATTGCAATTTCAGGAATACTCCGCTTTCTAATTGAATGTTTAACTGAAATCATTTCCCCTTCAGATTCTATAAGAAATTGAATGACAAAAATTAGATAAATTCAAAAATTATTTTGAAGATAGGTGTACCAAACTGAATGTGACCTTTCATTTTTAGAAACAAGTATTTTTTCATTTTTTTTAATATTATATAATTATCATCGAGACATTCTGTACTCAGGTGAATTTAGGGCTTTTTGATTCTGAAATGTTTAAAATTCCAAATTCTATAATGTCAAAAGTTTGACAATTAATTTGTGAATAAAGTGATTTTAGTGAAATTAATTCCCGTAGAATTTTGACAATAACATATAGTATATTCACAGGATTTGGAAAAAAGTATAAAGTAAAGAAATTTTATCCAAAGTATTTAAAAAAATATCAAATTATTCAAAAATCTTAAAAAGTCTACGAATTTTTTTTTTCAAATTAAAAAAAATCAGAATTACCCACGTGATAAAATTCTACGGAAATTCTTTATGGAATTTCGTGAATAATTTCCTTACGCAATTTCTACAAATATTCCACATTGTATATTTTTGTAGAGTTTTCGATAACTTTTTAAAAAACTGTTACCAACTAAAATTGGAGTTGGTAACAGTTTAACATCTTTTTATCAGATAAGGATTTTTTTCGTGTAAAATTAATAAAAGAAAATTCAAAATTAAAAAAATATAATAATAAGGATCGAAATAATATTAAAAAACTGTTACCAACTCGAATTGAAGTTGGTAACAGTTTAACAGTTTTTTATCAGCTAAGGATTTTTTTCCGTGTAAAATTAATGAATTTGCAAATTCTGAAAAAATAAGTTTTTTTTTAAAATTGTAATTAAAATATTTGGAAAATAGTTGAATTTCCGAAAATAATTTTAGAAAACTAAAAAAATAGGAAATTTTCCCAAATTTTATTAAAACTGTTTTATATAATTTCAAAGAATTTTATTTTCTCATTAAAAAAATTATTTTTAAACATTATTTTAAATATTAGTATTTTTTGAAGAATTGTAACTAAAAATTTAGAAAATAATTAATTTCTACAATTTGTATTTAAATAATTCAATTATTGTTTAATTCTAATAAAAGATTTATTTTAAAAAAGAATTTTTAAAGGTTTTAAAATTGAAACCTTTTTAATATTTTAACCAACGTAAAAGTATAATAATATTTAAATGTTTGTTTTATAAAATTATTAATATATATTTATTGTAGAAATGCAAAAAAATATTAGGTTTTTGAAAAATTGTATTTAAATTTTTTTTTGAAGATTCCCGAAAATAATTTTTAAAAAAAGAAATAATTAAATGTTTTGTCAAATTTCATTGAAAATAATTTTCATATTTGAAAGAATTTAATTTTATTCCAAAGCGATAATAGTTATTGATATATTTAATAATTTAATAGTTTTCGAATCGTGTGCTTGATAATTTTTCAAATAATAAAAAAAAAATTGTTTTGAAGTATAATCGCATTTTTGAAGAATTATATTTCAAAAAATGACATTTTTTAAAAACTAATAAAATTTTCATTAAATTTTAAAAAGAAAAGATTTCGTAATTAACAATGGGCCAAAAAATGTCACATTGTAATTATGTTAGTTTTAAAAAATATTCATTTATACCTTTTTTGATTTCATGATCAGGCAAAAATTGTTGGACCTGGAAAAGCCAATTTTTGAATAACTTCATGAACTAACAAAGATTGCACACAGAAAAAAAAATATATTTGATTTAGAGTCAACTAAACTTTATATTTGCTTCAAATAAATTTCATTCGGTTGCAAATAAAAATTTTATTTGTTGCAAATTAAATTTTTATTTGAATAAATAATAATAATTATTATTTGAATAAAATAAATATACTTTTAATTAACTCAAACAAATTGTACTGAAGAAAATTTCTTTGGGTTTGCTATTTTGAGGAATAAGTTTGTTATTAAATTATTATTTTAAATTACAAAAAATTTACCTGTAGAGTCAGTGTGAATGGGGCACTAATTAGTGCCCAAAGTAAAAAACGAGCGTAAATCATCTCTTGTTGTTTGGTTTTTTTTGGACCTATTCACTGAAAATGTCAGTGTTGAATAATTTTTTTTTTTCATGTCATTACATTTTTCAAGAATGTATAGAAAATATATTGACATTGATTGTATTTATGATTTCGTAACCAGTAAGAATGCTGCAGGTGTATCGTGCCAGTTGGAAGAAATAACATTACTTTATTGATTAAAAGTAGAAAAAATGTACACGTGCATTGACAATGTATTTCAGTTTGATAACTTTTAAAATAAACCTTAGAATAAATTTATCTTCATATAAAAAAAGTAGTTAAAAAAATATTTTTGAAAATAGTTACAGAAAAAATAATCCATATCAAAGTTTTTCCTAAAAAGAAAATTTCTGTTTCACTGAGAAAACAATATATTTGAATCATAATAATTTTGATTAAACACATAATATAATAGTTTTGGTTAAATAAATATTACATTTAATTCAATTATAAAATATATTTAATTCCAACTTATTTTTTTGGTTGAGTATATTTATATTTGAAGTTAAAAAAATTTTCTCAGTATTGTATATAATTTTTTGATGATTTCTTGAAAATTTTTTGAGGATCTTTTTTTTATAATCTTCATCATCTTCTTCATCATCTTCTTCCTTCATCTTCATCGCTTAATTAATTTTAATAAATTAAATTTTAAAATCTGTTCCTAAAAGTTAATGTTTGTTTATTTTTCTAAGGCTCGTTATTTTTTTCTAATTACGTCTTTCCTTTAAAACTGTGTGTGCGACAGAAGAAACAGTTACATACACCTATGTTCGTACTTCACATTCAAGTAGCGTTAGCATTTCCCCTAGAAAGTTGTTGCTCATGCACGTAAACTTAGAAGTTTCCTCTTATCTAAAACCACACCTAATAAATTTCATGACAAAAATTAATGTTCTTCTTTCGCTTCTTTGTTTTAAAACTTTCCATATTTTTTTATCATCATCATTATAATTTTTTCCCTGTTAGGTATAATTTTAGTTATTAAAATTGTAAATGATTCCTGATTCATTTCTTTGAACTTATTTTAATTTCCAAATTTTTTCTTCCAACAATCGATGAATAGGGAAAATGTCGATAGTTTAGTAAGTAAAGTAAGTCCAGTGGGTCAGTAGATAAAAAAGAGTTAAAAAAAACGTATGAAAAAAATTTGCAGAAATTAATCATATTGTAAGGAAAAATTTTCTCGGATATGGAGAATTTATATAGATTCAGAGAAATGGAAACAATTGCTATGGAAAAATAGCATTAAAATAGAAATTGCAACTTCCTCTGGCAATAATCTTTGGGAGATCTCGTTTGAAAGGACCTTGAAAGCTTATACTAGAAAGACGGTTTCTACCCGCTTGGTTCAAGATCGACGTTTGAGATTAACATATACATAGTAAGCGACACTGTCCATGTAACACTTTTATTAGATAAAAAAATGTGCAATCCAAGGTCGTGGGTTTTTGAAAAAAAACTACTATCGTGAAAGTCACGGATACAGTACTAAATGAAAAGTCATTTAAATTCCATACAGTTATACAATCAAATAAATAATATGGTATAGCATTGCTCCCAAAATTGCCACGAATCAGATTTTTGTCTTTCTTTAATTATTTAAAATGGGACATTAAGTAGAAAATTGCTAGCAACTAGGAAAATTGTTTATAATATTTGCTAGAAATTTGTTTTCTCTAGGGAAGTATGGAGAATTTTCCAATATAGCAAATATTAAATAATAAGATAAACACTAGATAGCAACCAGAAAAACCCGAAGGCAATTTGCTAAAACATTGATTTCACCAGGAAAATATTTAAATATTTTCAAAAACTATACAGAAAATTGCTATGAACTAGGAAACAAACTTAACTGTTTGCTATTATTTTTTTCACTAGGGAAAATATAGGGAATTTTCCAATATGGCAAAGACTCAACTGAGAAAAGTAGAAGTCATTTTGCTAAAATCTATTTTAAATTCTAAAACCTGATTTCACTAGGACGAAATATAAAATTTTTTGAAAATTACGAAGAGAATTGTTAGCAACTAGGTTTGCTAGAAATATCCTACTTGGGGGATCTTTGCTAAAATTCTTTCTCTACAAAGTGCAAAAAAAAAATATTCCAAAAAAGTAACAATAAGTAACAAATAACAAGTAACAACTAGGAAAACTATTAAGACTCTTTGCTAATATGATTTCTGGGAAAATAGCGAAATTTCAATATTTGCAAAATTAGAGTTGCTAGCAACTAGGAGAGTTGTTTGGAGACCCCAAAAATTGGTCTTTGCTCAAATTTTGTCTCACATAAGTCAAGAACAAAATTTACAAAAAATGTCCATCAACCAGGAAATCTTTAAAGGCTTTTAGCTAAAATTTTGATGCCACTAGGGAAAAATGGAAAACTATAAAGACCTTTGCTAAAATTTTAATTCTACTAGGGAAAAATTTACTAGACAGGGAGATAAAATTTATTTTCCAATAGGGCAATGTGGGGAAATTTCTAAAATAATAAAGGTAGCATTGATAACAACTAGAAAAACTAGATTTCACTAGTAGGGCTCGGATTATGCGACTTTTTCGACTTTTTTGTGAAAAAATGCGACTAATCGACTTTTTCGAGATTTTTTTTTGTAAAATGCGAATGAAATTAAAAAATTTTTTTAAAATTTAAAGCAAAAAGTTTGAGTCAAAAAAATGTTCTATTACATTTATTTACAAATTTTTCGAAAACATCAATAACTTCTTTTATAAATAAATATTTAATTATTGTTTTTCCATAGAAATTAAAATTCTTGAAAAGATTCAAATTCAAACCTTGTTGAAATTAAACAACTTATAATAATTGATTAATAATTAAAATTATTAAAGATGCCTGAGTGATAAAATCATTATTTTATATTATAAGATATAAAAATTTATAAAAAAAATTTTATCATTTTTCATGAAAATAATTGAATTATTGGGAAGAAATTTATAACACATTAGTAAGTAATTGAATTTTGCAGAAGAATGTTGATGTTTACAAAGATAATTGAAATTTCGAAGAGAATTTTAAAAAAAAATTTTGAAAATAATTGAATTTCTGTAAAGAATTTTCTTACTTTTTAAGATAATTGAATTTTGCAAAAAATTGTATCAGAACTTTTGAAAATAGTTAAATTTCCATGATGAATTTTATTCTTTATGAAGATAAGACAAATTTTAAGGAGAAATTTAAAAAAAAATTTGAAAATAATTGAATTTCTGCGAAGAATTTTATTATTTTTGAAAATAATTGAATTTCTAGGATGAATTTTATTATTTATAAAGTTAATTGAAATTTTGAACAAATTTTTTTTTTTAAATGTTTAAAAGTAACTGAATTTTGCAGAAGAATTTTGATATTTATAAACATAATTGAAATTTTGAGAAGAATTTAAAAAAAAATTTGAAAATAATTGAATTTCTGTTAAGAATTTTCTTCCTTTTGAAGATAATTGAATTTTGCAAAAAATTTTATCAGAAATTTTGAGAATAATTAAACTTTTATGATGAATTTTATTATTTATAAAATTTTGACGAAAAATAAAAAAAAAATTTTTGATTATAATTGAATTTCTGCGAAGAATTTTATAACTTTTGAAAATAATTGAATTTCTAGGATGAATTTTATTATTTATAAAGATAATTGAAATTTTGACAAGAATTTTATTAAAATTTTTGTTAAATAATTTAATTTTGAAGAAGAATTTTATTATTTATAAAAATAATTTATATTTTAAAGAGAATTTTTAAAAAAATGTTAAAAATACCTAATTAAAATTTTGCTATGAATAATTTTATTAAATTTTTAAAAATTTTATTTCTGATTGTTTGATATTAATGTATCTGTTCTTGAGAAATGTGATTTTTTTACAATTTTGACAATTTCGTGTTTCCTTTTTGTCGTTTTTTCTAAAATTTTATGCGACTTTTTTACGACTTTTTCGGAAATTTTATGCGATTTTTCGTGACTTTTGTTGTAAATTTATGCGACTATAGACACTTTTTTTGAGTCTTAAAGACGATCCGAGCCCTGTACTAGGTCAAAGTTAACAACTTCAAAATTTTAGTAATTCTCTCTATGATGAAGGGAATTTCTAGCTACTAGGAGAGTCGTTAGAAACGACCAAAATTTTGATACCACTAGGGTAAAATGCGAAACTATAAAGGTCTTTTGCTAAAATGTTGATACCACTAGGGAATAATGGGAAACTAAAAATGCGTTTTATTAAAATAAATATACCACTAGGGCAAAATGGGAACTTATAGAAGTATTTTGCTAAAATTTTGACACTACTAGGAAAAAATGGGAAACTAAAGGCATTTTGCTAAAATTGAGATAACTCTATAGGGAAAAATGGGAAACTATAAAGGTCTTTTGCTAAAATTTTGATACCACTAGGGAAAAATCCTTTTACTAAAATTTTGATACTACTAGAGAAAAATGGGAAAATTAAAGGCCTTTTGCCAAAATTCCGATTCCACTAGGGAAAAATGGAAAAAATTACTAGACAGGGGCATAATAGACACATATTGGTGTAGGTGTAAAGTGAGCGTGTTCGTGGATGAGCGAGGGGTACATAAGGAAGGGGAGTGGTCAAGTGAGGCCTCGTGCTGACCTATTCCTTTCTGCAGTGCATTATGGCCGCTCGTTCAGCACGGCTTTACCATTTTCTCTGTTCGGCATATGTCACAAGACACTCTGCGTGAATAAACAAATCTCAATTTCCCTTTCGAGTAAAAATTTTCCTAAAAGCAAGAAATTACCAAAAAAAAAAAAATTTCAATTTTTTCCCCACTCTTCCTCTTTTTTTTTAAATATTACAATAACGTGAATGTCAAAAAAGAAAAAGAAAAATAAAAGAATTTAGCAGGTGGGGGTCATTGTGTATGCGTGTGTGTCTTTAAGGGACATGAAAAGGCCGCAGCAGGCCGTCGGATAGCGACGGCTCTCGAGAGGTTTGTCGCCGCAGCACAGCACAATGGAACCTCTACATCGCTGTAAGTACGCGGGGCTTACGACGATTAGAGTTTCTCTACCTTAACAATAAAGGTGCGCGAGCGATTTT